TTATTATTTAGATGCAAATATACAATTTTAAGTTTCTAACTCAAATTTAGTGACCAGATATATGGTACTTCAATTAAATTTTAATTTTCTATTCTAATTTGTTAACAAATATATTCTTAGTTTCCCCAATAACTACATATCACTTCGTCAGCTATATTTATATTTAAGAAAATAGCAGCTTTGGTCCCTTAATTTTTGGGTTATTCTAATTTTGCTTCCTGTATAACTTTGCTGAGCACATCTGACCTTCAATTACACCATAATTGCAGTTTGGTCCAATTATGAACAGTAATAGACAAATGTTAATTTCTACCTTGTGCAATTCGTGAATTATGAGAAAAATTATAGCTACAGACAAAATAGAAAAGCTTTTTCTTAATTATTGAAGAAGAGGACCAAGGTACTGGAGCCCAAAGGGTGGGAAGTAGAAGGGAGAAACCTTGATAGATCATGGATCAAACTAATGGAAGTTAAGATCATGGATCGCCTTTCTAGAGAAGCTTGTGGAGGAGCGCATCAAGGTGGAGGAGTTGATGCTGCTGCTTGAGTAAGACATTGTTTACAATTTTGTCAGCGATTCAAATCTTTTGCACTTTTGACCAGTTAAATGGAGAAAATGGGACTAGTCAAAGAAATGGAAAAAAACTCAAAAAGGCATGAAGCACTCCAACAGCAAACTCTTTAACTGAAAGCAAGAGTGATACCAAAATCCAATTCAGTATAAGCAAAATAAATTGAGAAAAAGGAATCTACTTTGCTATCAAAGCCATAGAGTTCACTAAAAGTCAAACAAAAGTCACAACCAAAATGCAGAACGGCATACTTCAAAATCCAACTTCACTATACCCATCTGCAGTCTTCTTCCTCGGCTGATAGAGGAATTCTACTTACATTTATCCTTGATTTTCTTCAGATTTTTTGCTCTGTTAAGGCTGCTTTGATTGTTTTATTGTTTTCTTCTTCCTCTTTTTTCCAAGCAAAATATTTTATCGATTTCATTAGGGGCTTTTGGGGTGTAGAAGTAGATGCCTCTCATGGTCATGATTACTCCACTGGTTTTGGTTTCTAGATTAACTCCTTTTGGCATCTTTAGCGGACGAAAGAGGGGCTATACTTGGTTTTCACCAAATTGTGAAGAAAACATTGAAGATTAAACGTAATTTGATATACGCTGCAAGAGATCGCCAGTGACTTCTTCCTAAAACCCTAGCTAATAGAAGAATGAGAGATCCAGCTATGATTATTTCTCTTAATACCAAAATTATCCTAGTACAAATTATCCTCAGCCTACTTTGATTGATAATTGGACCAAGGTCGTACCTATAATTGAATTGAATTTAATTCAAGGTTGTACCAGTGGAGTAACAGAAGGATCAACAGTGGAATAAACCAATGTACTAAGCAGAATAACTAAAGGACCAACCCTGGAATAAACCAAGTTAGTGTATTGGATACTGTGGTCGATGATCCACTAGCATGGAGTAGGGAAATTGTAGAACAGCTTCTCTATTCTGCATACCGCCAAAAAGACTTTATGTAATGTCTAATTGTGGTTCTATTGCTGTTTAGGCTCTTATATGTACTGCCATGCCTACACATGAAAACAGAAAAAGAGAGAAGTTAACACAATTGTATATTCTGACCTTCTCAAAAAAAATAAAAAATTACAGGCTTGTATAATGTTTCATTTTGCCACAAAACTCTCATTGCAATGTCCAATCTAGCCATTGTCTTATAAATTAATTATTTTTCTTTTTATTGCCTTTTTTATATGCTTTCTAGATGTCCAGTTTCTTCTCTGTTGTTGCAGTTCAGTATATATGATTAAGACGTGTTATCAAAGGCGAAAAGCGCAAAAAATCTCTAAGGCTTGTTGAGGCTTTAAGCGCAAAGCACAAATAAAGCGTGAGCTTTAATGAAAAAAGGCACAACGGGAGGAAAAAGTAAAAATATGTATATGTAGTCCAAGACGAATAATTATAAGCATGAATAACAAATATATGGACAAAAAAATTGAAGAAAAAATAACGATAAAGTGAAATAAGTGTCGCATTTTCAGGATTACACTCATTGGCAAGGAAAATATGCCTTAGAGCCTTGATGCGATACGGAAGCGCCCGCAAAGCGAGGCAAAGCGCTCCACATGTTTTGAGCCTCTCTTTAGGGCTTAAGCGCGCCTTTGACAACAATGTGATTAAGTGGGTCCCTTGAACTCCCTTATAAATACTTTTAAATACATAACTTAGACTTGAAATTCAGAAAATTTATGTTCATTTTGCCTTCCTTTTTACTCATTAGTTTCTTTAATATTCTTTTGTTTGTGAAAATTTATGTTCATTTTGCCTTCCTTTTTACTCATTAGTTTCTTTAATATTCTTTTGTTGCAAAGCATACTTTCAGGGCATGAATGTTGACTGGTACCATTGAAAATAAGTCACAGAAAGGGGGAAAACAGGGACAAAAGAAAATTAATAGATTGTGAGTTTGTGACGGATTGGTTGCAAAAATTCTGCTTCGTAATAGCGTCAGACAGTCTAGGCTCCTGCTATTGAATTGTTTGGAAGAATCACACTCACTCTTAAGAGTGGTGCTCTCCATAAATCACTCCAAATGCTGCAGCAAAAAGTTAAACAGTGTAGTGGTTGTGCATTGTATTGTTCAGAAGAACTTTGCAAATGCTAAAGAGTGTCGCTCTCTTTGGTGTGGCACTTGGATTATGATTTGCTATTTCTACAGTTTTGAGGATTCACAGAGTTTGTGTTTGATTTATGAAGCATTTAATCTGTAATTATGTCTTGCCCTATAATTTTCTTGCCTCTTAAATTTATGTCAAATTTCAAATAGAATACAAATTTCAGATGACAATATGTACTTTATTTCTTGGAGCAGGAGCAAGGTATAGCTGTCCTCAGTAAAGCAATTGCGGCTTGCACCCAGGAAATAGAACGGCATAAAGGAAAACTTACAGTCAAGGAGGCCCCTCGAGCGGTGAGAGATTTTTGTTCATTAAAACTGTTTTATATTCCAATTATAGTCATGCATTTTCTTCTTCCCAACTCTGAGAGACCTTTACTTTGACATTGGGATAATTGACACATCAAGATATGGATCAAGCTTAGACTTAGATTTGCAAGATTTAGCACAAACAAACAATAATTAATAAAGCTTGTAAATCTCTTGATAGTTATATTTGATGCTGGGGAAGACCTGAGACCTTCCTTTTCCCCCCTGATAAGTAAAGCTGACACTTCAGGGGGTTTGTTATTAGGAGCTCAACAGATATAGCGCTCCGATTATTTTTTTGAACTATTTTCCTGTTGAATCAAATTAGATCTTAAGATTTGGATTAAAAAACTCGGTTGATACTCCTCGGGAGTATTTGATTGACTGGAATTGAGCACCGAGATTAACTGTACAATTGTATAGTTCCGACATATAAAAATAACCCTACAATTGTATAGTTTCGTCACTACTTTTCTTTGTTTTTGTCTCGTGACTAATATTTCTTGTCTTGCGGCTCTGATGTGATAAAAATCTTTTCAGGTGAGTGAGCGGGAAGACAAATTACTTGCTGAACAAATGGCTAAACTTGGACGTGAAAACGAGGAGAGAAGTGGTGATGAAGATAGTGAAGAGGAAGAAGATACAGGAATGGGAGAAATTGATCTTGAAAAGTCAGGAACTGGAATAACAGATTGAAACTGAAGCTTGTTGTGGACTTGAACTACACTCCGCATTTTCGTACCTAACTGTCTACTCTTTTCTCTGTCCTTTGTTAAGCCCTTTTGCTTATTTTTGGCCTTTCTCTTTTTAAGTATTTGAGATGGTATACAAAATCAACCTTGAGGTTAAGTCCTTACGGCTATTGGTAAAATACAAATTTAGCTACAAAGGGGATTGTTGATGGCACAATGTCCACGAAGCATGTTAAAATAATATATTTGACCTATCAAAAGTACGTGTCTGAGCTAAGTGCGCGACAACGTTAATAAGCTAGCCGGCCATCAACTACTTTTTGAAATCATATTGATCTTCTGTAAATAGACAGATGCCTCTGCCCTAGTCGTTCCTTGCTGTTGAGCCACCTCTTACCTATATATATATTTTTTAAAATTATGCTCTTGGAATTCTTTTTCACCAAACAGTAGATGGAAGGCTCATATTTTAGTGGGTTATGGATTATAATGTAAATATGGAAACATATAGAGTAAGAGTAGTTCGGATATTTGGCATTTCAGTCATAATCTCAAACTACTATGTAAGCAGTTGTCTGATTCGATTGCTCCGTTTAAGATTCTTAGTTACAATATTCCACTTGCATAAATAAAAAATCATGGGACTCGGTGCAGGGGCGGATCTCCTATTAAATGTGGGTTCCCGGGAATCCAGTAGCTTTTGTATATACCCTGTATATATATATTACAAAATTTACTAAATATCCTAAAATATTTGATTGTGAACCCATTTACTTATTGTATATTTATTTAAGATCGTTATAAGAATCATAAACTTTAAATCCTGGATCTGTTTTATTTACAAATGGTAGTCCAAAAATCCATGTGCTTGTTAAAACCTTAGTTTGCTATTCACAGCAAAAATTGCACTCTGACTAGGACTTTGTTAATGAAAAACTCGGATATTAAGAAATAAAATAAAAAACTAAATAAAGGAGGGTAAGCTCAAACCCCGTGGCCTGGGGGTCGGTGGCACTGTTTACATACACAAGCCATAAAAACAATAATGATATTCTACTGTTAACAGATTTGCCTCCTTTGTGTGGCCCCCTCACACCCCAGATCCTTGTAATCTCTAACCATATTTCAAATCATGAGTTTCGTTTTTTTCGCCTTTGGACTTTTGACTCTCTCTCTCTCTCTCTCTCTCTCTCTCGCATATGCTGAATTAGCATTGCGTTTTTTCACGTCATCGTTTTTTTTTTCCTCATCTCTCTGGCTAGAGAGAACACAAAAGAACAGACACAGAATTTTCAATCCAAAAAAATGGCTATATCATCATCTTCATCGTCCATGCAAGATATCTTAAAGCAACGCAAATACCCATTCATCTTCTCTTTTTTCCTTTTACTAATCTTCGTCACTTTCCTCCTTATTTCAAACTCCCAGAAATCTCCCATATTCGTTGCCATCGACTTTGCTCAACGTACCTCTAAATCCAAATCATCAATCCCTGCTGATAATCCGGACTTGAATCCTAACACTATTTCAATTGAAAACGTCCCGCGGGGTAATAATATTACGATCAACCCTGATTCTAATGGCCCGCTGAATAATAATTATACGATCAATACTGATTCTGATACATTAATCAACAATGAATTGGAAACGTTCTCTAATGATTGGAAGCTGTGTCCCGGTCCCGTGGCGGTTGATTACATACCGTGCCTTGATAATTGGAAAGCAATAAAGGCAATAAGGTCAAGAAGGCATATGGAGCATAGGGAAAGGCATTGCCCTGTTCCTAGTCCCAGGTGTTTGATTCCGTTGCCGGTTGGTTATAAGTTGCCGGTTTCGTGGCCTAAGAGCAGGGACATGGTGAGATTTTCACTTCTTTGGTGGTAAGATTTTTGTTTTCTTTCTTCCCTTTGGTGCTTTGCTTAAATGATAATTAATGGGATTTTGTAAACCAATGGTTTTATGATCGCTGGAGGCTCGAACTTATATGATTTTTTATTTGCCTTAACCTTTTTTCTTTAATAACAATTAGTGTCTGAAGCTGCTTGCTCGCAACTCGATTGCTAACTCTGTCCATCAAAATTTCTTTAGGTAGATGAAACGAAATTACCAGTATTTTTGTCTCAACTGACATTTGAATCTTACATGGAGCTAGATATGGTTTTAGTTGGTTTTTGGAAGTTACTAATTATAGTTCCAAATAACTGTTTTTCTGTTTATGTAAATNGACATGGTGAGATTTTCACTTCTTTGGTGGTAAGATTTTTGTTTTCTTTCTTCCCTTTGGTGCTTTGCTTAAATGATAATTAATGGGATTTTGTAAACCAATGGTTTTATGATCGCTGGAGGCTCGAACTTATATGATTTTTTATTTGCCTTAACCTTTTTTCTTTAATAACAATTAGTGTCTGAAGCTGCTTGCTCGCAACTCGATTGCTAACTCTGTCCATCAAAATTTCTTTAGGTAGATGAAACGAAATTACCAGTATTTTTGTCTCAACTGACATTTGAATCTTACATGGAGCTAGATATGGTTTTAGTTGGTTTTTGGAAGTTACTAATTATAGTTCCAAATAATTGTTTTTCTGTTTATGTAAATGGAGCAACTTCTAAATTTGCTAAAGCTTAATTTTGTTTTCTTAGAGAGTCACTTTCTATTCGTCATACTATTTATGTTCTATTCCTCATTTTTTTGTTTTTTTTGCGCGATAGATATGGTATGACAATGTTCCTCATCCTAAGCTTGTGGAATATAAGAAAGAGCAAAATTGGGTAAAGCAATCTGGTCATTATTTTGTTTTTCCTGGAGGTGGAACACAATTCAAGGATGGAGTAAATCACTACATCGAATTCATTGAAAAGGTACTCTGTTTATTTGTAGCATTCTTGTCCTTCAACACCCCAAGCAACAATCTTCTACAGTATATGTTTGTTTCTGTTCAATTGTGTTGCTTTTAATTTTCATCTACAACAATCATCTAATGAATGTAATATTCTTTGTTAATGTCTGTACCTTGATGTCTTTCAAATCTAAATAATCAGTAGAAGCGACATTTTGTGATATTAAGTTAGGAGGCTTCACTCTTGAGGAAGAGACACTGGCGCTTTCAAAAAAGAACTCCTAGACGTGTCAAACCAAAGCAAATTCCTTTCCCCTAATCATAATATTTGTTATATGTACATGCAGGTGAATGTCTGTACCTTGGTAGATCATAGTTTCCTTTGATCTTTAAATCGAGCTCTATTACATGATTATTTCTTATTAATTCATGAGATTGTTTGAGTATAGTTTAACAGTTTGTACTAATTACTAATGAATTAACTTCATGCAGTTGGTAACCATAAAAAACCAAAATGCTAATAATTCAGATACAAGTTATCTGGTGGAGTCTGTAATTTGCTTTCAAAATGGATTTGTACACACTCAATACCTATTTATTTCATTGTTTCCTAGATTTTTTGTTTCTTTAATGAGGGATGTTGTGCTGAAAAGGCAGGAATATGAAATTAAATTCTTTGTGCATTTAATTTGAGTTCTGATCATTCTGGAAGGATGTGGAAGAACAAGTAGTTAGTGTTCATTTTAATTTTCCTTTGTTAGTGTTCTCGTGGTATCTATTTTATCTGAGTTTCTTCTTGTTTTTTATTTAGACTTTTCCAACAATTGAATGGGGAAAGAACATAAGGGTCGTTTTAGATGTTGGATGTGGTGTTGCTAGCTTCGGCGGTTATTTGCTGGATAAAAATGTCATTACCATGTCATTTGCTCCAAAGGATGAACATGAG